AGATGGAAATTGTGAAGAATTTCATTTTACTTGGATCCATAATCAACACCTATGGAAGCAGCAGTCAAGAAGTCAAAGGATGCATTGCATTGGGCAAATCTGCTGCAAAAAACTAAAGTGTTAAAAAGCAAAGATGTCACCTTGAAGACTAAGATGCACCTGACCCAAGCCATGATATTTTCAGTCACTTCGTATGCACCTGAAAGGTGGATAATGAATAAGGAAGATTGAAGAAGAATTGCCATCTTTGAATTATGGTGTTGGCGAAGAATATTGAATATACCGTGGACTGCCAAAAGAACGAACAAATCTCTCTTGGAAATAGTACAGCCAGAATGCACCTTAGAAGTAAGGATGGCGAGATTTCGTGTCACATGCTTTGGGCATGTTATCAGGAGGGATGAGTCCCTGCAGGAGGACATTATGCTTGGTAAAGTAGAGGGTCAGCAAAAAAGAGGAACACCCTCAATGAAATGGATTGACACAATGACTGCAACAATGCGCTCAAGCGTAACGATTGTGAGAATGGCACAAGACTGAGAAGTGTTTCATTCTGTTGTACATAGAGTCATGAGTTGGAACTGACTCGATGGCACCTAACAACAACAACATTCTTTTGCCTAATTACTTTTGTATATTTTTTTTGCTGGCGTTAATTTGATTTTCGCTCATATTACTTGACTTTGGGAAAGAAATATTTTGAGAACTGGTTTCACTTTAACATTTTACCTCAAATTTTGGTATTTTTAAAAATATTATTTTACTGTTGACTTATGGATTTATTGTATTTTTACTGGAGCATGTGATCTGTACAATTTCATATCTTTAGAATCTAGACCTGAAGATCATATGACCTAAAAGATCATCATTTAAAAAAAAAGAGATCCCACGTGTGCTGTTAAATGGAATGTAGTCTCTTCTCTTACTCTTGGTTGTTAGTTTATATATACATATACATACATGTATATATATCTCTTATTAATTTATCCTTGATGTGTGTGTGTCTGTGTGTTTATTGATCTGCTCTAGAGTAAGATGTATGTGTTAGACTCTCCACATCCTTTCATCTCAGAATTCAGGGACTTCTAAACACTCAGTCCCAGGAAGGGCAAAAGGTTCTCTCTTTTTCCTAGTATCAGTCTTATTCACTCTTGCCTTGACATAATTGTCAATATATACACCCAATTCATGTTATAAAACAGAACACTTGTCAATCTACTGCATCTGATATATTTATTGCACTTCACGGTTTTCTCCGTGAACAGTGAGTTTTGTGTAAACAGTACATAGCCGTGATTTTTCTAAAACAAGGCAGTCGCTTTTGAAGTAGTAGACTCTTCACCTCTAGAAAAATAAATTTCCATTAACAAATGCCGGTGCACTTATTTAAAAGAAAACAACAACAAAAAGAAAATCTTCATGTACTTACAAGTAATTTACAACTGTGAATTTTTTTCTTTCTTAGGTATGCAGATTGTTTCTGAAAGTGAGCTAGCTCAGTTGACTCAGATTCGACCATTAATATTTGATTTTCATGTGCAATCAACCATCAAGGCTTGCTTGGAAATGCTTCAGAGAAAAGTGCTAACCTCTGAAATCTTCCAGGAGTTTATGGTAAATATTTTGGTATTCACAAAAATTTGTATCTATGTGATTTTTTTCCCCACATTGCTACTAGTAGGTTTCTTCTCTTTGTTTCTCATTTTAAAAAGATTGGGTACCTTGTTGTTGTTCTTCTAATTTTGAAATACTAAATTTATTTTTAAATTAATTAATATACATGTTAAAAAAAAAAGTCAAATAGCATAAAAGGGTATAAAATGGATAATAAGTCTCTTACTCACCCTTGGCTGCCTATGGCCACTTCCACGATTAAGTTCGTCATGTAAACGAACTTAAAAAAATTCCAGAAAAAATTGTTGACATTCTACCCCCCTTTTTACCCGCATAAGATACAATTTCTAAATGTATTATCAGTACATATAGCTCTAGCTCATTCTTTTTATATGTTGCATTAATTATATGGCTCAATGCCTTATTGTCTTTATATAGGTGCCTGTGCCAGATATTTAAGTTGTTCTAGTATTTGCTGTTATGAGCAACGATCATCCCTCTTCATCTTCTTGTGCATACATGTGAATATTCTTTAGGACAGATTCCTAGACATACAACCAATATTTCATAGTATTAAATTTTTAGATCTTTATTTATCTCTTAAATTACAAATTATTTCTTATTGGTGATCAAATTGCATTTCTTTATTTTAGAACAAAGGAATATCTTTCCATATATTTTTAAGCCTTTCATATTCTTTTTAGTGAACTACTGGTTCCAATTCTTTGCTCAATTTTTTATTTTTTTCTTTTTATTAATAATAAATCTTTTTATAATGAGGAAAGTAACCCCTTTGTGTATCTTATATATGGCAGTTTTTTCTACTTTGTTGTTTGTCTGACACATGTACATGCAAATGCACATATACACACACATACATACACACATTTATCATGAAGACATAGCTACTTTCAGTGGTCAACTATGTCAATCTTTTCTTTTGTGATTTCTGGATTTTCTGTGTTCTTTAGAAATGCCCCTTCACTCTAGGATCATCCTAACTATTCTTTGTTTTTTCCTAATACTTTTATTATTTTTTTAAATGTTTAAATTTTTGATCCAGCTAAAATTTAATTCCATGTAAGGTGTTAGGTCAGATGTGGCAGTATGGTTTTTTTTTTTTTTTTTTCTTTCTAATAGCTATTAGGTGTTCCAAGTCCCTCTTGAAATTTCTCGAGTGATGTAAAATGCCACTTTTATCATATACTGATGTACAATATGGAAACCCTGGTGGTGCAATGGTTAAGAGTTAGACTGCTAACCAAAAGGTTGGCAGTTTGAATCCACCAGGTGCTCCTTGGAAACCCTAAGGGGCAGTTCTACTCTGTCCTATAGGGTTGCTATGAGTCAGAATGAACTCGATGGCAATGGGGTTTTTTTTTTTTTTTAAAGTCTAATGTATATTTTAATTTATTCTTGGACTTTTCTCATTGATATATTTATTGACATAGTAGTACCAAGCTCTTGATTAAGGTAACTTTATATTATTTTTTTTACCTTCTGTTAAGACTAGTCTCCCCGCGTTGTTCTTCTTTTACAAATTTTTTCTAGTTCTTCTTACAGACCTGTTGGCATTAAGTCGATTCCAACTCATAGTGACTCCACAAGACAGAGTAGAACTGCCCCATAGGGTGTCCAAGGAGCAGCTGGTGTATTCGAACTACTAACATTTTGGTTAGCGCCATACTTTTAACCACTGCATCACCAGGGCTCAGATTAACTTTACTAAGTACAAATTTTAAAGGTGCAAATCTGATCATATTATACTGCCTAAAACCTTGATTGGCTCCGCTTTCCCCATGATAGTGGTTGCCAACACTTTTACTTAAACACTGGTAGTGTTATATTGGCTACCCAGGAGTTACTGAAGAGCTTATTACAAATACAGATTTTCAGGCTTTATCCATAGGCATTCTAATATGGTAGGCCTTGCTGCATCTCAGTTCCTTTTGTTTGTGAAACAAGGCCATCCTGGGTAGTCAGAATCTCCCTTTGGCCTAGATTATGTGCTCTGTGCTCTTGTTACCGTGCTGTTCCCTGCTTCCCTGAGAGGACACGTACACCTCCATGTCTCTACTCATGTCCTTCTGGCTGGAATGATACCCCACTCACCTGTCTTCTCTTTTCTTTCTCCACGCACTCACTTTCATATGGCTAACTTCTGATGATTCACTAAGGCCCGGTTTAAGTGCTGCTTCCTTCATGTAGCAGGTATAATCTACACCCTCTCCTCACTTATCGACATGATTAGGTTCCAAAGACCAGGTCATTATGCAAAATCAGTGTTATGCGAAAATGCAGGATGAGCACATCTGATCACAAAATGGAGGATGACTACATTGTTACATAACTGCCAAGTTACATCATTACATAACTGCCAAACCACTGAGAATCATGGCCCAGCCAGGTTGACATGTGAACTTAACTTTCAAAATTAGTGTTACTCTCACCTTACACCTTGGCATTCATTATTGCTAGATGTATGCCATTAATGTGCAAAATAGATAGATTTTTTTACTATTGTCATAAATGTGAAGTGTCAGAAAACGAGATAGTCAATAAGTGAGGAGAAGGTGTAATCGTTCACACTAGTCATTTATAGTAATCTAGTCATTTATAAAGGAACCCTGGTGGCGCAGTGGTTAAGCCCTCAGCTGCTAACTGAAAGGTTGGTGGTTTAAACTCACCCAGTGGCTCCGTAAGAGAGAGACATGGCGATCTGCTCCTGTAAAGATTACAGCCTAGGAAGCCCTATGGGGCAGTTCTACTCTGTCACAGGGAGTTGCTATGAGTTGGAATCGACTAGATGACACTCAACAACAACAGTCATAATATCTCTGCACATCGGTGACGTTATTTGATTGCATGTGTGTCTCTTAGCTGTTCTGTTAACTCCTCAGGGATGAGGCCATTTCTGATTCATCTTTGTATTTCAGTATCAAAAACAGTGCCAAGTACATGCTAAATGCTTAATAAATGTTCATTGAATTCACATTTGGTAAATAATTTTTTTTGAAAAGAACAGTTCTTTAATTGACCTTCTAACTATAATTTTTTCATAGGGCAAGGGGTAAATTATGAGACTATTTATATTTTTTAGTTCATATGTTTTTGTTGCTGTTATTTTTGTTTATAAAATTATAATTTTATGAGTAGAGGTCCTAAGAAGTGAATATTCTATATTACCTTTTTTTTTAGTGAAAAATAAAAAATAATGAGGTTCAAGAGGAAAAGTTTGTCCAGAGTTTTTAGCATTTTCTTATCAAACAATTTGTTGATTGGCATTGCAAACTTGAGATATTTTATATAGCACTCTTTTAATGGGGTTATAATTGCTTCATTTATCATACAACACATTTAACATATAGAGATTTAAGGATCATGGACACTAAACAAAGGCAGTTTTTTTTTGGTTATAGTAAATACATGATTTATATTTCTCACCTTTTTAAGGATTTAGAATTTGAGAGCCCATCTGATGAGTTCACCTGTGGGAATGAACCATCCAATAGAGACAAAAACAGATATCGAGATATTCTTCCATGTAAGCTAAAAATTATTTTGATATTTTCCTGTTTAAATTTGGGAAAAGGTAAAAAGTGGGTTACATGGTCTTCCACATGAGGCATTTTGACCTGGGACCATAATGAAGAGCTCTAGTAGCTAGCCTTGGGTGGCCTGGGCATATTCTAGGATTTATGCTAGAATTTGGTGACAGCCAAGTCCTCTGTTCCAGCTACTTGCCCCAACCACTGTCTTAAGGTTATTTATAGCAGTTCTTCAACCTTGTTCTTATGCATTGCTACTTCTTAGGCCATGAAGTATCCAAAATATAAAGCCCAGTAAGCTAAGACATCTGCCAGTTTGTGTACTGCAAGTCCTGACCACATTCCCTGGCCATTTTGTTTAGACACCTGGGTACAATGAAGCTGTTTATAGCTTTGTCCCAGACAATAATCTACCCTCCAATGGGAGGCCGCCCTTTGATTATCTTCATATGTTCGGTAGAGAATAGTGCCACCACTCCCCTACCCCATTACTCACAGTGATTTATCTGTTTCAGGACAACCATAGAGCAGAAACAAAACACAAAAATGCAGTTTTAATCTCAGGCAGGAAATCCTGTTCTGTGGCTCACACTCCTTTCAAACTCAAAATCTTTCCAAATTAAATTTATTGTTTTTCTTCCTCAGACTTGACCCTCTGCCTTTATTCTATAGCTCATTTAATGTAACCACACATTTGTCCAAGCTGGAAAACTTTGAGTCACCTGCAGTATCCAAAAGTGGTCACGAAGTCCTTTTGATTCCACCTCCTTGAGACCTCTAGAATCCTGCATCTTTCTATTCCTACTGCTGCTAACTTAGACTGAGCCCATTTTATTGTTCTGCTGGTCTCTGTCTTCTTCACTGCCTCTACTCCAGTCCGTTCCCAACAGTTACTGAAATTATTTTCCCAAAATGTAAATCAGAACATGTTACTGTCCTTTTAAAGTACTCCTTCACTCACTGTCACGTTCAAGTCTTTTAGCATGGCGTATGAATTCTTCCTGTTTGCCTCACTACCCTTAGCTCTCCCATATAACTTGTTTCTGGAATTGATCTTAAGTGACAATCATAGAAAGCTGGATTTCTTTACCACATGTCTTGAATTTATAGAGAAGGTTACTGAGGACTCACATAAAGAAAGTCAAAGAAATAATTAATTTGCCATCCTCTTCAAATGTTGAGAACACCAAATGAGGGAATTCATACATCTCAGGACACTACAAGTACAGGTAGTCCTCACTTTGCATGGTTCCAATAAACATAAATTTCAAGTTACTGTGTTCAGTTAAGTAACACTGGAAGCAATGCCACCGGCATTTCAAATACCAGCATAGTCACCCATGACAGACAGGTTTCAGTAGAGCTTCTAGACTAAGACTGGGAAGAAAAGTCTGGCAATCTACTTGTGAAAATTAACCAATGAAAACCTTATGGATCACAACAGAGCATTGTAAAATTTGCTTGCTTTGGACATGTCATCTAGAGAGATCAATTGCTGAAGGAGGACATCCTGTTTAGTGAAGTTGAGGGCCAGAGAGGGCATAGGACACCCTCAGTGAGAAGCATTGACGGAGGTGAAATGATAGATTCAAACATGCCAAGAATCATGATGTAGGACTGGGCAGTGTTTCATTCTGTTGTACATAAGGTCACTATGAGCTGGCTATTCTTTTATAACCAACAATAAGGGAATTTTTAATGTTTTCACAACAATGTAAAAAAAATTTTTATTGTACTTTAGATGAAGGTTTACAGAGCAAACTAGTTTCTCATTAAAAAATTAATACACATATTGTTTTGTGACATTGGTTGCTAAACCCGTGATGTCAGCACTCTCCCCTTCTCGACCTTGGGTTTCTCATTACCAATTTTCCTGTCCCTTCCTGGGCTGGTGTGCCCATTTAGTCTCGTTTTGTTTTATGGGCCTGACTAATCTTTGGCTGAAGGATGAACCTCAGGAGTGACTTCATTACTGAGCTAAAAGGATGTCCGGGGGCCATACTCTCGGGGCTTCTCCTGTCTCTGTCAGAGCAGTAAGTCTGATCTTTTTTTGTGTGAGTTAGTGTTTTGTTCTAAATTTTTCTCCAGCTCTGTCCAGGACCTTCGATTGTGATCCCTGTCAGAGTAGTTGGTGGTGGTAGTCGGGCACCATCTAGTTTTGCTGGACTCAGTCTGGTGGAGGCTGTGGTAGATGTGGTCTATTAGTCCTTTGGACTAATATTTCCTTTGTGTCTTTGGTTTTCTTCATCCTCCCTTGCTCCAGATGGGGTGGGACCAGTGGAGTATATTAGATGGCCGCTCACAAGCTTTTAAGACCCCAGATGCTGCTCACTAAGGTAGAATGTAGAACATTTTCTTCATAAACTATGTTATGCCAATTGAGCTGTATGTTCCCCAAGACCATGGTCCCCACAGATCTCAGCCCAGTAGTTTGGACCCTCAGGGAATTTGGATGTGTCTATGGAGCTTCCATGACTTTGCCTTGGACAAGCTGTGCTGGTTTCCCCAGTACTGTGTACTGTCTTACCCTTCAGCAAAGTTACCACTTATCTATTGTCTATTTAGTGTTTTTCCCTCTCACCCCTCCCCTCCCTCATAACCATCACAGATTGTTTCCTTTCTGTGTAAACCTTTTCATGAGTTTTTACTGTAGTGGTCTCATACAATATTTGTCCTTTTGTGACTGACTTATTTCATTCAGCATAATGCCCTCCAGGTTCATCCATGTTGTGAGATGCTTCTCAGATTCACCATAGTTCTTTATTGTTGTGTAGTATTCCATTGTGTGTATGTACCATAGTTTATCCTTTCATCTGTTGATGGGCACCTAGGTTGTTTCCGTCTTTTTGCTATTGTGAACAATGCTGCAATGAACATGGGTGTGCATATGTCTATTCGTGTGACTGCTCTTATTTCTCTAGGATATATTCCTAGGAGTGGGATTGCTGGATCATACGGTATTTCAATTTCTAGCTTTTTAAGGAAGCGCCATGTTGTTTTCCAAAAATGGTTCTACTATTTTGCATCCCTACCACCAGTGCATAAGAGTACTGATCTCCGTGCAGCCTCTCCAACATTTGTTTTTTTCTGTTTTTTTTTTAATTCATGCCAGTAATGGTGGGGTGAGATGGTGTCTCATTGGGTTTTGATTTGCATTTTTCTAACGGCTAGTGATTGCGAGCATTTCCTTATGTGTCTGTTAACCACCTGAATATCTTCTTTGGTGAAGTGTCTGTTCATATCCGTTGCCCATTTTTTAATTGGATTATTTGTCTTTTTTGTTGTAGAGGTGTTGGATTTTCCTGTAGAGTTTAGAGATTATACCTTTGTCGGATTTGTCATAACCAAAAATTTTTCCCCATTCTGTAGGTTCTCTTTTTACTCTTGGTGAAGTCTTTTGATGAGCATAAGTGTTCAATTTTTAGAAGATCCCAGTTATGTAGCTTATCTTCTGGTGTTTGTATATTTTTAGTTATGGTTTGAATCCTATTTATGCCATGTATTAGGGCCTCTAGAGTTGACTGTGTTTTTTCTTCTGTGACCTTTATAGTTTTTGGCTTTATGTTTAGGTCTTTGATCCATTTTGAATTAGTTTTTCTGTATGGTTTTAGGTATAGGTCCTGTTTCATTTTTTTTGCAGATGGTCATCCAGTTTTGCCAGCACCATTTGTTAAAAAGACTGTCTTTTCCACATTTAATGGACTTCGGGCCGTTGTCGAAGATCAGGTGTCCGTAGATGGATAGATTTACATCTGGGTTCTCAATTCTGTTCCACTGGTCAATGTGTCTGTCATTGTACCAGTACCAGGCTGTTTTGACCACCGTAGCTGTATCGTAGGTTCTGAGGTCAGATAGTGTGAGTCCTCCTACTTTATTCTTCTTCTTCAGTAGTGCTTGCTTATCTGGGGCCTCTTCCCTCTCCATATAAAGTTAATGATTAGTTTTTCCATCTCTTCAAAGAATGCTGTTGGTATATGGATCAGGATTGCATTGTATTTATAGTCTGCTTTGGGTAGAATTGACATTTTCACAATTGTTAAGTTTACCTATCCATGAGCATGATATGTTTTTCCATTTATGTACGTCTCTTTTGTTTTTTTGCAGTAGAGTTTTGTAGTTTTGTTGGTATAGGTCTTTTACATCCCTGGTTAAATTTATTCCTAAGTATTCTACTTGTTTAGGGGCTATTATAAATGGTATTGTTTTTCTGATTTCATTTTTGAAGTTCTCTTTATTGGTGTATAAGAATCCAACTGATTTTTGTATGTTTATCTTATATCCTGCTACTTTGCTGAATCTTTCTATTAGTTCTAGTAGGTTTCTCGTGGAGTCATTTGGGTTTTCTACATATAGTATTATATCATCTGCAGATAGGGACAGTTTTACTTCTTCCTTAGCAATTTGGATGCCCTTTATTCCTTTTTCTTGCCTTATTGCTCTCGCTAGGACTTCTAGCATAATGTTAAGTAGGAGTGGTGATAAAGGACATCTTGTCTTCTTCCTGTTCTCAAGGGGAATGTTTTCAGCCTCTCTCCGTTGAGAATGATGCTGGCTGTTGGTTTTGTATAGATGTCCTTCATTATGTTGAGGAATTTCCCTTCTGTACCTATTTTATTAAGAGTTTTTATCAGGAATATGTGTTTGACTTTTGACAACAATTTTTAAGGGTCATGTAACAATAATAATTTTTACTATTGATTATTAAGAACACTTTACAAAGTTTCAGCTTACACAGTCATATTTGTGGCCCTGTGCTGCCATGCAAAGAAAGAAAAGCCCTTATAATGTATTCTCGGGATTTTCAGGTATGAAGACAATACTATGCATTTCTGTAACATTTTACAACTTACAGAGCATTTTCAAATGCATGATTTTATATAATCTTCATAGAATCCCTCTGAAGTAGATCATTCAGACATTATTATTCCCATATCATAGAGAAGAGAACAAGCTCTGAGGTTAAAAGGCATTTTTAAAGGTTAATAAAGGAGTAAGACAAACACTACATGTCAGGTTCTCTACTCCTGTCTTAATGCTTTTTCTGTTACTTGTCTCTGAGTCAGGATTAACTCAGAACTAATTAAAACGGTAAGGACTTAGATTAGTTTTCTGCTTTTCAGAGGATGTTTGCATATATCTTATTGAGTACTCTTCTTGTTCTCACTTATGATGATACGTTTTCTGAATGTGGAATTCCTGGTCTTAATCTTTTCTTTTCAGGTCTCCATAGACATTATTGATTTCCAGCACTTAAGAACAGTCTGATGACAAGATGAGGTAGATTTTTTATTGGCAACCTATGTTCTCCTGCCTTAATGACAGAATTAGTTTTTTCTTTATTCTTTAAATTAATTTTTCACTACGTTACGTGATGAGGTAAAAGAGCTGGACAGAAGATTTCAAAGAGCGGCTTGAGAAGACAAAGTAAAATATTGTAACGACGTGCAAAACCTGAAGTTAGAAAACCAAAAGGGAAGAATATGCTTGACATTTCTCAAGCTGAAAGAACTGAAGGAAAAATTCAAGCCTCAAGTTGCAATAGTGAAGGATTCTGTGGACAAAATACCGAACGATGCAGGAAGCATCAAAAGCAGGTGGAAAGAATACAGAGTCACTGTACCAAAAAGAATTGGTCGATGTTCAGCCACTTCAGGAGGCAGTATATGATCAAGAACTGATGGTACTGAAGGAAGAAGACCAAGTTGCACCGAAGACATTGGCGAAAAACAAGGCCTCAGGAACTGATGTATTATCAATTGAAATGTTTCAATAAACAGATGCAGCACTGGAAGTGCTCACTCGCCTATGCCAAGAAATTTGGAAGACAGCTACCTGGCCAACTGACTGGAAGAGATCCATATTTATGCCTGTTCCAAAGGTGATCCAACCGAATACGGAAACTACCAAACAATATCATTAATATCACACTCAAGTAAAATTTTGCTGAAGATCATTCAAAAGTGGTTGTAGCAGTACATCAACAGGGAACTGCCAGAAATTCAAGCCGGATTCAGAAGAGGACATGGAACGAGGGATATCATTGCTGATGTCAGATGGATCCTTGCTAGAAGCGGAGAATACTAGAAAGATGTTTACCTGTGTTTTATTGACCATGCAAAGGCATTCGACTGTGTGGATCATAACAAATTATGGATAACATTGCAAAGAATGAGAATTCCAGAACACTTAATTGTGCTCATGAGGAACCTGAACAAAAATTAAGAGGCAGTTGTTCAAACAGAACAGGGATACTGCATGGTTTAAGGTCAGGAAGGGTATATGTCAGGGTTGTATCTTTTCACCATACTTATTCAGTCTGTATGCTGAGCAAATAATGAGAGAAGCTAGACTGTATGAAGAAGAATGGGCATCATGATTGGAGGAAGACACATTAACAAACTGTGATTCACAGACCATACAACCCTGCTTGCTATAAGTGAAGAGGACTTGAAACACTGATGAAGATCAAAGACCACAGCCTTCA